CGGCTTTTCAGTCCATGTGAGGAGAAAGGAAGAGCGTCACGTTGTGTTGGTTTGTGCCCTTTCAGAGGGGAGCACGTTGATGATTCCCCCTGCTCTGTTTTAGTGTCAGGGCACAGCCCAGAGATGGTCGTTGCTGCAGCCACCTGGTGCTGGTACACGCAGATATAATAGTTCTTATTTTTTTCGTTCTTATTTTCGTTCTGCCAAAGCTGAACACAAAAATTGTGGTGAAACCAAGCTGATCAGAGGGATGGAGCACCTCTGCTACGAAGAAACACTGAGAGAATTGGGATTGTTCAGCCAGGAGAAGAGAAGGCTCTGGGGTGACCTAATTGTGGCCTTTCAGTGCCTGAAGGGAGCTACAAGGAAGATGGAGAGAGACTATTGACAAGGGACAGGACAAAGGGGAATGGCTTCAGGCTGGCAGAGGGCAGGGTTAGATGGGATTCTGGGAAGAAATTCCTGCCTTTGAGAGCAGTGAGGGGATAGAACGGGTTTCACAGAGAAGCTGTGGGTGCCCCACCCCTGCAAGTGTCCAAGGCCAGGTTGGATGAGGCTTGGAGCAACCTGGGCTAGTGGGAGGTGTCCCTGCCCGTGGCAGGGGAGTGGAACAAGATGAGCTTAAATGTCCCTTCCAACCCAAACCATTCTGGGATTCTCTGAAATGCACTTCTGTAGGACATTCCCCTGCAGGAGCAGGGCCCTGGGGTCCTCCCTCCTGGTGAGGTGGTCCCTGCGTGAGGATTCCAGTCGGGTGCAAGGAAAGAGCCTCAAACACTCTGTAGCTCCTGCTGACTCTGGTGGTGGGGCTCTGAAGGAAAACACCCCAGCACCCCTGGTTTTAAATACCCAGCTCTGTGTGCAGGGGTGGGATAATGCTGGAGTGCTTTTTGATGTTCCTGTGGCTGACTCATGGAGCACCGAGGGCTGAGTCACCGCGGGTGAATGCGGCGTTTCACGTCGGGGTGAACCCAAAATGGGAGCAACACCAGCTTCATTAGAGGAGCTAATATTGGACTCATTATGGGCTTCATTAGATTTTTTGAAGTGAAACAATCTGGGAGAGTTCCTTTTGCAGTGTATATAAACAGATTATTAGCATGGGAATGCCAGGGGTTTAATGGGATGCTGGGCTGGATGGAGAGGAAATGAAACTTCAGATGTACCCCAAGTTTTGGGTGTTTGTTGCCCATCCTGTTTTGTTTTAGCCTCTGACTCTCCTGAAATCCCATAAGTTTTTCATGCAATTAGGGTTTTTTGCTTACTATATTTTAGAATAAAATGCTGAAGGGACAGTCAGCTGTTTCCCTTTTTGCTTTCCTTTAGAAAGCTCTTTGCTATTCCAAGCTCTTCCACTTATAAAGGTCTTCACCTGTCCCTGAGGAGCAAAAGTTTTGCTCTGGTTTCTTCTGGTTGCTGTTCAGCCAAATCAGATGGCCCTTCTCATTATTATGGGAATTTTGGACATTTATTGCTCTTCCTTGCTTGAAATGTAGGTTTTCCTTTATCCCAGATGTCCAGTTGGACAAGGGCAGGTTGCTTTGTCCTGTATTTTCCCTCAGCAGAAACAAAGCACTCTGGAAGCAGAGGGTTCCTTGGGAGCAGAGCTGCTCTCACCCTCTGTCCTCGGGCTACAGTTGAGGCAGGAACATTTTTTGGTGGTGGTGTGTTTGCTGGGGCAGAGTTTGCACCTCTCCTTCCAGAGGTGGAGCTGAAGGATGGACTGGCAGGTTTTTCTGGCCAGGAGTCCACCTAGAAAATAATGATGCTGGTGACACTTTTGGATTTCTGCTGTTCTGTGCACTTTATCAGCTCTCTTCTGGTGGGGTTTTGTTCTTTCTCCCCCAAAGAGGAGAGAGTTGTGGCTGCTACTCCTGAAGGATGCTGGAAGTCCAAGCTAAATGCAATTTGAAATGCAGATTTGTATCTCTCTCTTCATTGAGCACCACAGCCCTGAGTTTGAGGAGGAAATATTAATACTGCTGGTACAACCTTTGCCAAATAATCCTGTTATTCTCTTTGTGATTGTCTTTAAGACCTGATGAAGGATAGAGAAATGGGAAAGGACTTTATTTCACAGCCTGGTGAGTGCCTGTGTGGAACCAGAGCCTTGAGTAACTGTTGTGCAGCCCTTGGACTGCAGCCACGGTGACTTTAATGCATTTAAATAAATCTTCTATTGAAGTTTAAGCTAATGTCTCATATTTTACTAATGTAGAAGTAAAAGGTCAGGGATATGATTGTGCTTCTGTGCTTTAACAGCCTACCTCTCCTCTGTTCTGCAGCAGAGCTTTGTGCCCTCTGAACCCACAGCAAATGCCTTATAAAATGCAATGGCTTTAATTCCTTGGAAGCCAAGCAGGTCTAGATGCAGTGTTCTGTAGCATTCCCAGCTGCAGGGATGTTTTTTCCAGACCTCCTTCCAAACTGGAGCAGCTGATTTACAGACCTGGAGAAATCTTCCTGCCTCTATCTCTGACCTCTGTGGGTCTCTCTGCCAGATGGCAGCGAATTTAAATGGCTTTTAAATGGCCTTTTCTTTGTCTCAAAGCAAAAAGGTCCTCAGTGAGGTGGAGCATTCCTGGGAATGCTCACAATGGAGATCAAAAGTGCTTGGGAGGGTGGCTGTGGCTGAGCAGACAGAACCACAGCACGGAGATGTCCGTGGTGGGAGGTGGAGAGGAGCAACACTTCCAGGAATGTCCGTATTCCCTGTGGGAGGGAGGGCAGTGCTATTTGCTCTCCGCCTCCCTGGGTCTGCTGATGCCCTGCTCCCCTCCTGCTCCTGCTGTCCATGGGATGGGGGATGTCCTCAGCAGCAGGGATTGAGGACAAGCAGGATGCAGGTGGAGAACCTGCACAAGTGTCCTCCTTCCTCCCGCGTTTTTGCCTCTCTGCTTTGCAAGAGGAGGGGGTTTGCAAGCTGCCTGTTGAGATATTTAGTGTGTTAGTGGGGGAGCCAAGAGCACCAGGTCTCCCAGGTGTGTTTGTGGCTCAGGTGAGGTGTTACTGGATTTCAGAGCTACCTCTTGACCTGTTCTGGGGTGTTCCTGCAGCGCTGCCTCCCCCTGTCCATGGGGCTGGAATGGCAATCCTGTGGTGTTTGCTCTGGGCAATGAGCAGCATCGACTGTTCTCACCTGCACCAGCCCAAATCAGCATCTTGGATCTTGTTGTTTCCCAGAATAGAAGGTTTTCCTGTTGGGATTGCTCACTGGGTTGATATTGAAGTCGTACTCCTGCTGCCCCAACAAGGACAGGGACACCAAGGGCAGCAGCAAATCCTGGTGTGGTTAAACCTGCCTTTTCCTACAGTGGGAAGGAGCCAACCTGGATGTGTCACACAGGGTCAGATTCCTGGTTTTAATCCCTTTTATGCTGCAGCAAATTCCTGTATATTTTTGAAAACTGCTTTTCCTTTCCCCCCTTCCCCCCCCCCGAGTTAAGATTAAGCTTCTGGATGTTTAAAGGTTTTCCCGCTCCTCCACAGTGGGGTGTACAGGGAAATGAGTTGTAAATTCACAGAAGTCCTAACCCAAATTTCAGTGACAAATTAAAGGTTTCAAGTGGACACATTTAAACCCTGGAGATCTTTGTTATTGTGATGTAAATGCTGAGGGGGATGTTTGTTTTCTATTCGTGTGTCACAGCTTGATGGTTAAAGTAACAAACTCTTACTTTCCTTGTTAAATTTAAATTTCCCTTTGTTAAATTCAAATTGAACAAGAAGACACGGGCTGCCTGCTTCCTGGTAACTTTAGTGGAGAGGGGAATTGCTATGAAGTTGTACTTTTATTATCCATCTGGCAAGATGCATATCAAGCTCAGGCACTTTAAAGTTCCCTTTGCCCTGGGATAGTGCAGCTCCCACAGCACTTAGAGCACGGGCTGTGCCATCCCTGACTGCCTTGCTTTGTGTTTAGAGGGCTCAGGTGGGGTGTTCCCTCTTTGAGGAAGGTTTCACCTTTTAGGAGGTGAAACCCCTTGGTTGTTGGATCCTCCTTGAGGAAAACACCCCCCGCTCTCCTTGCTCCCAGCTTTTCCTCTCTCCTTGCTAAACTCGAGCGAGGGGTGTTGATAATTCGGATTATGCAGCTAAGTGGCTGGAGCGTGGCTGGCTGTCTCCTCCCCTTCCTGAGCTTCGGCCCTAGCCAGCTCGGCTCTGGAATGACAGGCATTCCTGCGTGAAGGGAGCTGGCACGGACACCTATTTATGAGCCTGGAGTGCCCGGCCATGGGGTCCGGGGAGAGCCGGAGCCGGGCCGGACCGTCGGACACCGGAGCCGTGGCCTGAGCTCGCCGGGCTCCTTCCCAGCCCACGGCGTGGATTTATCGTTTGAAAGGGTTGAAGCGCTCCCAGGGTAGAGTTTTCCTCTCTCTCTCTCTCTCTTTCTCCCCTCCCGCCTCTTCGCCGGGAGCTGCTCAGGACAGGATCCCATGGGGCAGCCGCACTTCTCCAGACCGGTCAATCCAGCTGCTCCCGGTGAGTAATGGAGGGGACTGGGGGCTGCAGGAGCGCAGGTGGAACGGAGGAGTTGGGAGGAGTGGAATGCGGGGCTTGTGTAACCTGTGCCCGGCTGGGGAGAGAAACCAGAGAGGAATAACTCCCGTTTCCTGCCTTCCTCCTGCTCGTGGCACATGCAACATGTTCCCTGATCCTCAGGCAGACTCTGGGACGCTGTTTTTAGGGATAGTCTCTGCCTGGCACGGGTTCAGGGATACCACCTTCACAAAGCACTTGGACAGCAGTAAAATTCACCTGTGTGGGGCAGGAGCCAGCCCTGATAGTGATCCCGGACCAAAGGCACCCGGAGTTGCCTCCTTGGGTGTGATGTCACCCAGTTTTGGGGGCAGCTGTAGCAGCTTTTTGGGGGAGAAGGGCTTGGCAACCATCTCCCTGCTTGTTTTCCCTCTGCACTGTGAGGTATCTCGGTAACAGACAGCCTGGAGCAAACACAAGTGTGTTAAGCCCTGGGAGCAGCTCCACTTCCCGGACACAGTGTTATTCCAGGGCTGTCGTGGGTGCTGTTCCCGGCACTGGCAGTGAGGAGACTTTCCCATCCTGCTGTTCCCATTTCTCTCATCCCCACTTGCTGTCACCTGGCTGGGCTGAGTCGTTCACTCTCATCTGTAACATGGGATAATCTGATTTTTTTAGAGAAACACTCAGCATTGGCACAAAGCTCCCCCAGATAGACATTATATTTCTTCATTCTTTTTAACTTCTATAACTTTGAACCTACCTGGTATTTTCAGGGCTCAGATGAAACCAGTGATTCTCTTCTCCCCAACAGTCTTGTTCAAGAGCTGCTAAAAATAAAGTGATAGAGAGACAGAGTAGAAGGGAGAAGTAAAACTTCAGTTGTCTTCACTGTACTGTCAGTGCAGATTAACAGCATCTTCTCCTTGGATTTATTCAGTTAGAAGCCAGCCTGGCCAGTCTTGGGCTTTTCTCTCACCAAGCACCAGTAACAGTGGTAATTTCCAGGGGAGTGGGCTCTTGGGGTAATGACTGTGTTTTGCCAGCAGACCTGGTGTTTTCTCAACTGGTCATTTGCTCTCTGAAGTCTTTTTTTTTTTTTTTGTGGCACAGCTCCCTCAGTTCCTACTGATTAAATGGTGAATGTGAGGACGTGGTTCTTGCATTAACTGTGGCAGGATGCTGTTAAAAAGAGTCCTCTGAAGATTATGGTGATTAGATAAGTACAAAACACAGGGAAGCCGAGGGCTGGGACTGTTTGGGGCTGTTTTGTGACCACAACCTTTTATTGCTTTAAGGTCAGGATTCACGTCTTCCCTGGACCATTCAGGAAACGCACATCAAGTTTTTAAAGCTGTTATAGGAAGCTTAGAAACATTTACCCCAAGTGCTTTTTGGATACTTCAACACTATCTCCTTCAAAAGAGCCTTTGTTTGCTTTTTGAGTTGTAACTGTTTGCTTGGAAGCTTTTGGGATTCTCACCTGCTCTGCTGGACACAGCAGAGGGGGAAAGGAGGGAGCTGGGCTGTTCTCCAGGCTGTGCATCCACACTGTGGATGGCACAGGAGGGTTTGTGGCTCAGGGCTGTGATGGTCCTGGGGTATTTGAGGTACCCAAGGTGTGTAAGGAGCAGCCACATTCCCAGCAAAGCTTCCTGATGCCCCTCCTGGGCTGGGGTGATAGCAGAACTCCAGGGAGGTGTGTTCCTTGGGGAAACAGAGGTGATTAAGCAGAGTCATGTTCCTGAGGGAAATAAAGGTGATTAAGCAGAGATGCTTCCATGGCACTGAAGTGCCTGGTTTGCCCCAAGACAGAGATGCCCAGTGAGCTCCTTGTGAGCAGAAACTCCTGGGATTTATGGAAATCCTGCAGTAACTCCTGTGAGAAGAGGTGGATCAGGTTCTGGATGAACTGTGTCTTGCAGGTGGAAGGAGTCTGGCCCAGGCTCATGACTTACACACTGTGCAAGTCTGGCTACACAGGAAAACACAGATGTTTTCTCATTTCCTTTCTGAGGATGTCTCCTAATGAAGTTGGAATTTACCAGCTCTTACATCTCGGAAAAGGAGTGGGGCAAAGAGCCTGTTGTAGTGCAGGCAGGGTGAGACCCATCTTCTTTTGGAGTTAGACTTGGGTGTCTGCAGAGATGTTTTGGGGAGAGAAGCAGCTCGTTCTCAGTCTTCTCCTAACAGCTCTGTTCTGCAGCCCTGTCCTGGGGCTCACAGATCTTTCATCCCTAAAGGATTGTGCCATGTTCCTCATGAACACTGGAAATCAGTGTTGTCCCTCCCAGGCATGTACCAATAGAATATGAATTGTCATCATCTGGGATGCAATTCTTTGATTTATTCACAGCCTTTAGCCTTGCTTTTTTGGGGTCTGTAACTCAGATCTTGAAGGGAGTTTTAGCTTAAGTAATGGTGTTAAAAACAAAACAAAACTTCTCCGTAGCCAGACTGGCTTTTGAGGGTGTGTGGCCTGAGTTAAAACAGTTTAAAACTCACCAGGACTAATTCTGCACTAGATCCAGGTTGGGTTTAATTGTATAACACTGTGCATCAGAGGTGCATTTCATATATTCAGTTATATTTCATATAACTGTTGCAGGTGTTTTCCACATGAGGGATGATCCTCAATGAAATGAATGCTTTCTGGTTATTCCTGTTGGTCCCTGAAGTCCCTGCTGTGCCTTTTTCCAGGCTGGCAGCGCTTTGCTCTACAAAATGTTTTGGGGCTTGATCCCTGAAGATGGGGATTAATTCTTTGCTCATGTGGTGGCTTTTCCTCCCTGGACTGTGGTGTGACCATTAAGCCATGACATTTATGGGTGGGTGATCCTGCTGGGAGCTGCCTGGCGTGGTGTCCTGTGTGTGTGACCACGTGTGGTGTCTCTAACTGATCCCAGGGATCCTGGCTCTGCCGGTTTGACCCACTGAGAGCAAGTGGTGGAAGTGAAAGCTTCACCTTCTTTAATGGGAATGGCAGCCCCAAGCCTGACAGGAGCTTTGGGAACAGGTGACACATCACCACAGGCGGCGTGAGAGGCCAACTGTGGGTTTCCAGCTCCTTCCACTTGAAATGGTTTCTCTGGGAAACAAAACAACTCGACTGGGGTAGCTCAACACCACAAGGAGAAGAGCTTTTCTCCACCTGGAGTTTAACAGCAAGATTTAAGCGTAAATGTGTCATGAGGGAAGGGTTGGAAGGACCAGCTGGCCAAGCAAACCGATGGGGAATTGCCTCCTGAGCTGCTTGGCACTGCTGGTGCTTCCTGCCTTCTTGTGTGTCCAGGCTGTGCCAACTTTGTGACGTTTCCCAGGATTATTTCAGTCTAAACATTTTGGGTTAACACAAATGTGCTGTTTAAACAGCTCAAATTCACCTGCTTGTTTGGATGGAAGGGGATCAGGACAGTGTAAGTGTTTGGGAGGGTGGATCTGAAATGGCAGGAGGCAGCTGGGGAATTGCTCCATCCCTGGACCAGCTGGGTCCTGGGATCTGAGTGCTCCAGGCCATGCCCCCCAGGAGCCTGGAGAAACGTGTTGAATTTGCAGTGATATTTTATTCTGGATTTTTCCTCAGCCAGGGCTCTGCTGGAACATTAAGCACATCATGCTGGTGTCAGGGTGGGTTCTGTGGTGCTCTTCCTGCTCCAGGGTTGCTTTTCCAAAGTGTGTGCTACTACTACTTCCAGAAAGGTTAAACAAGGTCGTGCTTTGGCGTGGGGGCACCTTAGGGACCTGCTAGTTGGGAAGCTCTTGACCTTCTAATGAGGACACTCTGGCTTCACCCAGGCCTGTGTGACCTCATTTAACCTCTTCCACGTATTTAAAGCAGGTTTTCCAGCCTGGCACTACAGTGAGGGTGAGGCTGGTCTCTTGGGCACAGCGTTGGTGCTGAGAAGGGGCTGGGATGGGCGAGGGCATCCTGATGCTTCCCACCCTTCCCTCAGAGTCCTGTTCCCCTTTTTTGGCCCCGTTTCTTTCCCCAGGCACTGCACTGTGGTTCCTTCCCGGGTTCCCAGGGCATGACTCGGATAAGGAGAAGTTTCCCCCTTGCATTGCAAAGCAGCTTAAGGACCCTCCTGTACCTTGTGGAGCAGAGCAGGAGGAGGCACAGCCTCAGCAAGGTGGATTCTCTGCCTTCACAGCCAAGAAACGTCCTCTCTCTCCACACCATTCCCTGGAGGTTTGAGCTGCAAACAGGCTGTGAATGGAAGGGAAGGCCCTTTTTGGAGGGGATGTGAGCACTGTCTAACGTGAACAATCACTGAACAATGAGGTTATTTGAATACAGATCAGTAAATCTCACCTACAGCTGCCGACCCACCCGCTCATTAGCACTGAGTGTCATAATTGCTTCACAACAGACGGCTTTAAATGTCTATGTCCGTGTGTAATTAGGGATGGGAAAAGGAAGAGTGCCGGGGAAGGGCAGGACAGGCTCTCCCGTCAGCAGAACAACTGGACAAAAGGAATCCCAGCGGGGATTGAGGGGGGAATTGCTTCCCTGGCATCCCGGGATGTTTAGTGACATGTCGAGTTTTATTCTACACAGAGCAGAAGGATGGTTTGGGAAACGATTTGGGCGGTTTAATGCTCCGAAGTGGTGTGCCTGTCTCCCCCTCTTGCCTGGCTGTTGTTAGACAAACCAACAAACCAGTTACAAACCAGCAAACCCGAGTGTTTTCGTGTTGTCCAGCACGGCAGGAGCCTCGGAGCAGTTGTAACACGGCCGAGAAAAGAAGCGAGTGATCGATGTGCAGGTCGTTGTGAAACCTCCCGTGTTCACCTGCGCGGTTGCAATTCTGGCAGTGGAACTCCACCCCGGGATGGTATTTGCTTTGACAGCCAGACCTGGGCCTGCAGGAGCTGCTGGAAGAGGTTCTGCCTGGAGTAAAAGTTGCATGTGGGCTCTCCCCACCCTCCCTGCTCCGAGCTGCTCCCGCTCGGGGGGTATCGTGTGTCTCCCGCAGTTTCGGCTCATCCTTTCATGTCCCTGCTCCTCCCCGGCTGCTCCGAGGGGACCGTGGTGGGGGAATGCTGCTTGTTCTCCCTCTAATTGGAAATGGAGACATCCCAGCGTGCTGAGGGGGCTCTTCATTAATCCCTGGACCTGAGGGCTGAGTTTACTTTTAATAACTTCCTTTGCTTAGTGCAGTACTCTGACACCTTGGGTGGCAGCGGCACAGAAGCGACATTTCCTCAGAGCAGGGAAGGGATGGATGTGGAGGGAGCGTGGTTTGACTGCCCTCAGCATTGTTCTGCTTGGAAAGGTGAGGGGAGTGCCTCTGATGGCACTTGGGATCCACGTCCAGCCCCCAGCCTGTCCCTGGCAAGTGCTTGTGCCTGCCTGGTGAAGTTTGGGAACGCTCCATTGAACACAGTGAATACTGTTCGTTAAAATTACATGTACAACTCCAGGGCTAGTGCTCTGGTCTCTGAAGAAAGTGCCTCCAAACATCCAGATAATTCAATTCCTCTGGGGTTTCTGGGAACTGGAAATGCCTTTTTTCTTTTTTTTTTCTTTTTTTTTTGCCCCCATTTCCAACTACCCACCCTCCCTCTGTCCCTGCAGAAAAATCACAGATCGGTGCTGACATCGTGTGTGTTATTTTCCACCCAATTTCTCTCCTGTTATGAAGCCAGGGTTGGGGTTTTTTTATTGTTTCAAAGCAGCTCAGATGCTGAATTTATCTTGCTTTTTCAAATAAATACTGGCTGGCCCCAGCTTCTGACCAGTTCAGAATGAAGGACTTTCTGTTACGGGGCTGATTTAGACAAAAATACAACCAACAACCCAACACAAAATCCATCAACCCCCACGTGTGAAATCTGGAGTTCTGTGAGTGAGAGGAGAGACCTGTACAGAGCTGGCAGGGTCAGGAATTTTGGGTAGAGTCTGGAATGGCCACAGTTAGCTTTGGAAAGGGTTTGTCAGGCTGGTTAGCACAGTGGCACTTCCATGGCACTTCCGTGCCCCTCCAGCCTCTCCACAGCCCAGAATGCTGGGTTGGCTGTCCTTCCTCCATCACTTCTCACAGGATCGAGATCCTCCTGCTGAAATACTCTCTGGTTTCCCTCGGCTGTTCTTCTCTTCCCTATTTTCCAGTGATTTTTCCATTTCATGTGTGCTCAGACTGGAATATTGGGGTCTGTCTGTGTTGCAGCCTGTCCCCAGGCTCCTCATGAGCCCGTGGCTGTGGCTCCCTGTGCTTGACCCTTCCTGGGATCTGAGATCTCCTGCTGGGAAGCGCTGCAGGGTTGCGGGTAGAACTCCATCAAAC